CCCCCTTGCCCCATTTTTTGGGTTTGGGTGGGGGGGGGGGGAACCCTCGCTCGCTTTCTGATCCCGGGGCAAAGGAGGCCGGGAGTCTCGCTCGTGTACTCGTTCTGCAAACTTGTGCTGCGCCCGCTATCCTCGCCGCTGCGGCAACGGGTGTGTGTGTGAGAATGGGGCGGGAGGGGGGTAGGGCGAGGGAGCGCCCGCTTGGAAAGCTTTTGGCATGGGGGGGAGGAGGGGGGGCCTCTCCTTGGCATGGACTGTTCATGGGACGCTGGCGAGGGAGCCGGAGAAGGGCGGTTGTGTGCCGCTGTATTACAGGTGGATTCGTCTCTGCCGTAAGGTTTGGTAGCTACGGGCTCGGCGCTGCTGTGGCACAGAAGGATATCTGCAAAGCCAACCCTGCAATCTTGTTTCGAGTGTTCGGGGAAATCAGTGCAGTCCCAGCAGAGGCTGAAACTAGTCTTTCACACTTTCCAGCCAGCTAGGTTGTGAAGTGTCCTCTCTTTGTGTGTGTACATACACGCACGCACACACCTCTGGGGATCATCTGCAGAGTGTGATTTGGGGGCATAGGGGGTAATCAAGAAAGTTGCAAAGGAGAGCAGGGAGGTACTGCTGTTAATGCTGGATTAGAGTGAAAGATTAAAAGATAGTAAAGCCACTCAGTTTACTGAGACGTGGGTTGCTTTTTAATGTTAGCGCAGTGCTCTTTCTCTTTGCAGTGTTGCTTCTCATGGGATCTTGGTTTGCTTGCGAACAAATAAGTGTATCATTTGACCATCGCATTCTCCTATGCCTGTCTCACATTTTTTTAAAAACCCTGTATTTGTAGATTTCATGTTGGATCTTAGCCAAATGGCCCTGAGGCGAGTGCAGTCTTGATGTCAGTTTCCACAGGCTCAGAAGTACTTTCTGTCTTGAGAGAGAATGTGCTGTCAGAGCCATAAGAAAGGTTATTTCATAACAGGAATTTCCTGTACTTTTAATTCTGTATTAGTAGCACACTTCTAGGGGTGTATGTAGTAGCATCTCTCTCCACTCAGTATTGTGGGGGCTTGTGTGTCTTTCCCTGTGTGGATTGCATCACCTGTTTTTAATCCCATGATACTTCCACCCTACTATGTGGAGTACTACATTGCTTATGAGGATGGGATCTGTTGAACTGATGTATTTGAGAAGGTCATGCCTCATGTTAGAAAATCCTATGAGGACATATTCTGAGAGCAGCTTCACTCATTACATCACTGTGCAATTACAGTTACACCAATGTGTAATGCCATAGAACAGAAAGTTGGACTTGGGGGTAAGGGACATCTATGTTCAGGTTCCTGCTCAACTGTGAAGTTGACTGTGTGACCTTGAACCAGTGATTCTTGTATTCGCAGTCAGCCTAACATGCCTCTACATACTGCTTCTGAAGATCAAATGAAATAAAGTTATGTATTCCACCTTTCCCTTCTTGGAGAAAGGGTAGGATGCAAATATGATTATTACATTTATATCCCACATTTCTTCCGTTCTGGAATGTAAGGCAGGGTGTATAGGGTTCAGGAAGTCTCCTATCCAGACACTGACCAGACCGGTACTTGCTAAGCTTGAGCAAGGCTGCTCAGTCATTTGCCCTCCAACAATATATTTTAGTAAATACATGTGGCACAGCTGTGGGATGTACACACTTGGAGAATGCCCATCGCTTAGGGCTAAAGCATGTACTTTGTATGCATAAGTTCTCAGGTTTAGCCCCCTCCCCCGCACCCTCAGTGAAAAAGATCTTAGGCCATATGTCTCAGACCTTGAAGAGCTGCAGCTAGTCTGAAGAAACAATACTAACTAGATGGACCAAAATAATTTCCTATGTTTGAAGTAGCTATATCTCTTCTAACAGCATGTACACTACAGGTTCTGCTGCCTTTATAAAAGGCATGTAGCTGCTTTAACTGTTTAAGTGGGGATACATTGCCGCTCTGTACCATTTGGTGCTAACCTTCAAAGTCCTGAATGGTCAGGGACCGACTCTCCTGGTATGTCCTCCGCAGAGCATTACACTTGAGTAGCCAAAATCTACTGGTGATCCCTGGCCCAAAGAGTGTTTGGCTGCTCTCAGCCTGGTGGAACATTCTCCCAGGAGAGATCAGGGTCATGTGGGATTTGGCACAATTCTGCAGGGCCTACAAAATAGAGTTGTTCTGCTGGGCCTATGGTTGAGGGCAGTATGGGGGTCTCAATCGGTAAGACCTCATGGATTGGCCTCCCCCTGGCCTTCTCCCTCCCCTTACCTTGTTTTCCCCCACTATTCCCCTTCTCCAGTGATTGAATATTTCCTCTTCATATTGGGTTTATGCCATCTCGATTTTATATAACTGATTATATGTATGTATACAATACAAGAACTCGTGGGCACTCCATGAAATTGCTGAGCGGTCGGGTTAGAACGGATAAAAGGAAGTACTTCTTCACCCAAAGAGTGATTAACACATGGAGTTCACTACTGCCACAGGAAGTGGTGGTGGCTACAAGCATGGACGGCTTCAAAAGGGAATTAGATAAGCATATGGAGCAGAGGTCCATCAGTGGCTATTAGCCACAAGGTATAGATAGGGACTCTGGGGCAAGTGATGCTCTGTCTGGGTGCTTGGGGGGGGGGTCAACAGTGGGAGGGCTTCTAATGTCCTGGCCCCACTGGTGGACCTCCTGATGGCACTGGTATTTCTGGCCACTGTGTGATACAGAGTGTTGGACTGGATGGGCCTTTGGCCTGATCCAACATTGGCGTCTCTTATGTTCTTATGTTAATGTACTTTATTGATTATTGAATCATTTGATATTTGGACTTTTTAATTGTATATTTATAAACTGATGTTAACTGCTCTGAGCCGGTCTTTGGGAGAGTGGGCTATAAATTTAATAAATTAATTAATAATATGGAATCTGATACACTGCATATGTATAGGAATGACTAAAAAAATTTACAGGGTGCATTTTCATGTTATAGATTTTGTTTTTTAAAAGCTGATATGGCACATGCTGGAAGTAAAATTACTGTTAACAGTCAGATATAGATATAATGGCTTACAGTGAAGTTAAAGGCTCAGAGTAATCAATGTAAAATTCCAAAAAAATATAGAATCTAAGGTGCAACTGTACTGGAAGGGGACAGGATTGGTTTTGCAGTGGCTCAAATTAAGATTTATAGAATTAAATAAACTGTAATCTAAATTCAGAAGTAATAATGTTTTGTTTATTATAAGAGTGAATCTCTGAAGTTCTCTGACTTGTGCATTGCCTCTCTCTTCTCCTTGGACACAGCTTGGATATGAAAAACGTCCTGAGAAACTGTACCTTGTGATGACCATATCAGGCATAATGACAAACTGGGCTGTTCCCGTGTCCAAAAACCAGGATTTCAAACCATACAGTCTGGAATCCTGTTCGTAGACTGGAGAACAACCCAGAGAATATATTATCATCCAATCTGGATTTCATGGTGAATTGAATTTCTCAGGAACCAGGATGTCTTCAATGTCTCGAGGCATGCACAAGGGGAGAAAGGCTTATTTGAGCCCAAGGGCTTCAGAGGCTTGTTCTCATAGGAAAAAACAACAACTGTGGTTTGCTTGACATGTCTGAATGAACCCCCATGGCTGAGAGAGAGCTATATCATCGCCTTACCCCAGATGTTACAGTTACCAGAGTAGGGAGCATATTTAGTAACCTTTTGAAGCTGTGTTACATTACATTCACAAGCATATCTTGTGCATGTTCTGTTCTGTGGTGTTTTAGTAAGCAAATTAAAAAATGTAAAAACCCATTCAGAAGACTATGAGATCCATAGAACATTTGCATGTAGATTTTCCACACAGTAGTGGAACTAGAGGACTCTGAATTTCAGAAATCATAGAGTTACAGATGACATCTAGGGAGACAAACTTTTAAAATAATATATATGGAGTATATGTGGGACTGAACAGCACTTTATTGGTTACAAACAAACATGAAGCCCCTTTAAAAAGGGCTTTGGTAGTTTTACTTTATGTTTGGGTTTCAATCTTCTTTTCTGTGAAATATTCTTATGAAAATGATATAGCCTGAGGGGAAAAGCAAGCACCAATAAGCATAAGCGTAAGCGCAGGCAAAATATACCTGAAATATGTCAAGAGAATGCAGTGTGCTAATAAACAAGGTAAAGTTTATTATAATAACTTCCTAATAAGAGCAAAGTCCAATTCTTTTCATAGTTCCTATTTTATTTTTGGAGTTGGAATTCAAAATTGTGTGGTGATGACAGAAATCAAAGTAAATTAGTTGTTGAATGGAATTTCATGGTTCTGTCTGAAACTTCAGTTGTCAGGCTCCAAAGTACTGGGCAATTACTTCATGTACCCAAGTCTAATTTATTTTAAGAAGCAGTGTAAGTGAAGCACATTGCCTGTGGCAGTAGTCACAGCACAGTAAATTGGTGTGTGCCCTTGCAAATCTGCTTTAGCCACCAAACATCAGAATTATTAAACAAAAGCAAAATCAGAAAAGCAACACAGGAAACTGTTAC